CAGTGTCTTGACAATTGTAGCAGTTATGTTATAATAATTATCTTACTTTCAAATTGAGTGTCATAGTCCAGAAACTCAGCAAGGCTGTTGATGAGGTATGTGTGTTGTGGGAGAATGGGAGTTTCATTCAACTCTTTTTATTGCTCTGGGAATTGCTCTTTCTATTGTATCCTCCTCCTCTCTTGGGCAATAGGTCACAGACTTAGCATTATTTCCCCAAATTCTTTTCCCCATCCCAGATTAGAAGACTTTTTTTCAGTGCAACTGATTGCTGTGCAAATTATCTAATGACAGTATTTGCCTCATGTGGGTTTTCTGCCAATCTCTTTGGGCTGGATATTGCAGAATGTAGTACATAGTGGCATAAGAGTCTGTATCCAGGATTCTCCCATGCCAAAGGTATCTGTAGGGTGTGGTGAAGAAAAGTTTAGATGCCAATCATGACGTGTGATCACAGCTCTATGACACACATAAAAAACCCAGGTAGAGATTTAGTTGCACTGTTGCAGCCGCCATCCTGTGCTCCGTGGACATCCATGTTCCCAAGCTCTCTTATGCCTTTCCTTTTAACCGAACAAAGCTAAAACAGACAAAAAAAAGAGGAGGGGAAAACTTCTCCTTGGTCACCTTTATTAATCATGTGTTTCCCTGAAAATAAGACAGGGTCTTATTTTCTTTTGACCCCCTCCCCAAAAAAGCACTTGGCCTTATTTTCGGGGAGATCTTATTATTTTTGAGGTGAGTGTGGTCACTTCATGACTGCTGCTGTGTTGCAATATTTTTGGGAAGGGCTTATTTTCAGGGGAGGGCTTATTTTAGCGCATGCATTCAAAAGCCTGATTGGGTTCATTATCCGAGGAGGTCTTATTTTGGGAGAAACGGGGTAGTAATCTGTTATGTCTGAGACTGGGCAAACGTGAGGTGTCAATCATCTCCACCCGATGACAGGATTGGTCGGTCAATGTAGGCGGCGCCTAAGGAAGCTAACGTCGTTCTGATTGGATGCCGGTTTGACAGCTCCGATATAAAACATCTGTCAAACCGGAGTTCCTCTGTTCTGTCATGATTTGTGCTTAGTTGATGTTGAATAAACCTTTACTGTTGAACGGATCGCCNAAAGTATATTTATTTATAAAATGTATTGACCACCCATTTTACCACCGGGTAATTCTGGGTGGATTATATACCAGTATCTACCGTACAATCACCATTACTGTCCAGTTTCAGTCAGGCAGCCATGATTGATATTCATTGGCAAAAATAGTGCCCAGTGGAAATTTTTCTTTCAGTGAAGACACCAAAGGCCAATCAAGATTGGATGGGATGTATAGAAAAGCTCATAATCCCTATATTTTATCTGCCAAGGATTTGATCCAAATAAAGAATCCTATACCTATTTGCTTGTAAAAGCCATTCATTCAGATTCTAATTATACGAAGGTACTTGATCTTCATTGTGCTCTCCTGGTGAAAGTCCATGGATGATATTGGCACAGGTCTTTTCTATGGATTAATCTTGATATGAACTCAATAGGTTGAGTTCACATAAATGGGATCTAGGGATTTAAAGGTGTGTTCTGTGGGATCAATGAGATCCTAGTTTGTATGTTTTTATTATGTTATCTTATTCTTTTGGTGCTCAATCAAAGTGTTTGTTTTGATGTTGATACATAAAGACCATCAAATATTATCCCAATAGCATTTCCTTCCACTTTGCGTATATATTGGGGACATAGCCACACTCTGCAATTTACATCAGAACAGTAAACAGCAGCCGCTGAGCAATTTTCAGCCTGTGTGACTTCTCTGCTTGTCACCTGTCCAGCCCAATCAGGAGATGTTACTATCCGGGGGTGTAGGATTACAGGATAGAAAGAACCTGCTCAGGGCCCCAGTTATTTTTACAGATTTCTTGCTGCTCTCGCTGCATACAAAGGGAGTCACGATCAAAACAGGGAATCAGAGAGGCCTTTAGAAGGCCACACACAGGTCTGGCAAAAGAGCACATCTTTTGGAGGGGGCCCAAAACTGTTTTTATTCTGTGTCCATTTATCTGGAAAAAAGAAAAGGGCTTGCTTAGTAACTCTGTTGAAAAGACATCAGCCATTCATTGCCCAGCAGATGACCAGTCAATTGCTAACCCTTCTGGGTTGTCCTCTGTCCCATCATGCACTCAATATTTTTGTTTTGCTGCATATGATATTCAGCCTCAGGGGTTAAAGACACTGAGCTTGTCAACTGGAAAGTTGACAGCCCAGGTTTGAGATGCTAGCACTGTGCAACAGGGTGAGCTCTCGTTCCAGGGATGAAAGGTTCTGGAGAACCGGTAGCGTAAATTTTGAGTATTTTGGAGAATCGGCAAATGCCACCTCTGGCTGGCCCCAGAGTGGGGTGGGAATAAAGATTTTGCAGTATCCTTTTCCTGCCACACCCACCAAGCCATGCCCATGGAATCGTAGTAAAATTTTTTGAGACCACTGTCTTGTTCCTTGCCGCAGCTCCTGCCCACCTAGCAGTTCGAAGGCATGCAAATGTGAGCAGATAAATAGGTACCACTTTGGTAGGAGTTCCATGAATCTTTGGTGAATAGCCATATTGGCTACATGACCACAGAAAATGTGTTCGAACAATGCAGGCTCCCTTGGCCAAGATGAGCACCGTGCCCTAGATGAGCATACATTGGGGACATATGAACAACCTGCCCAGTGGTGGGATTCAAATAAATTAACAACCGGTTCTCTGCCCTAATGATTTCTTCCAACAACCAGTTCACCAAACTCCTCAGAAAGTTAACAACCGGTTCTCCTGAAGTGGTGTGAACTGGCTGAATTCCACCACTGAACGTGCCCCAAAATCAGACACGACTGGACAGGAAAATCTTTACCTTTATTGTTACTGGAGAAAGAGATCCAGGAGTGAGTCTTTGATTGCACAGTTGCCCTGCCTAAGCCATGGACATTCCTTTCTTTCTTTCTTTCTTTCTTTCTTTCTTTCTTTCTTTCTTTCTTTCTTTCTTTCTTTCTTTCTTTCTAAAAACAATTTATGTGGCTGTTCATTTCACAAGTGGGATATGGGAGGCTAACGCAAGTTAAGAACCAAAACAGCAACAATCCAAAATAATTAAAAACGGTTACAATAGCAGTTAAATTAAGTGCACCTGAGCTCATCTGCGCTTAATGCCTGCTGGGAAAGTCAAGTCTTAAAAGCTTTACAGAAGGTTGACAGGATAAGGGACATTCAGAATTCATGAGAATGGGTTTGCCATATGGTAAGCACTGCATCAGAGAAGGCACATTTTCCATATCCCTCTTGCAAGTTTCTCTTATTATAACCAGTTTTAATAAAAGTAGATTTAACCATCATGTGGAATTGATCTCATGATCAGGTCCCTATAGTGAAGCTGATATCAATCTTGCAGTTCTGATCGTGCTGCATCTCCTCCTCCTCCTCCTTAAAATTCAGTGAATCAGGGAAGGGTCTGTTTGAGTTGCTTCCAAACATTATCCGGACATTCTGGACTTTAAAAAGAATTACTTAAGTTTCTTTTGCATAGACAGCAAGCCCTGTGTATCTCTCTTAAGGTAATCTTCCTTACTCTATTATTCATAAATGTGGAGAAGATGAAATAGCTGTGCAATGCTTGTGTATTTGTAATGCTAGAAGATTTTCACTCAGAAGCATTACATTCCGGACTACAAGCCAAATACTGTTTTGAGGGACAATATACAGCAATCAGATTCAGATTACAGTGTCTTGACAATTGTAGCAGTTATGTTATAATAATTATCTTACTTTCAAATTGAGTGTCATAGTCCAGAAACTCAGCAAGGCTGTTGATGAGGTATGTGTGTTGTGGGAGAATGGGAGTTTCATTCAACTCTTTTTATTGCTCTGGGAATTGCTCTTTCTATTGTATCCTCCTCCTCTCTTGGGCAATAGGTCACAGACTTAGCATTATTTCCCCAAATTCTTTTCCCCATCCCAGATTAGAAGACTTTTTTTCAGTGCAACTGATTGCTGTGCAAATTATCTAATGACAGTATTTGCCTCATGTGGGTTTTCTGCCAATCTCTTTGGGCTGGATATTGCAGAATGTAGTACATAGTGGCATAAGAGTCTGTATCCAGGATTCTCCCATGCCAAAGGTATCTGTAGGGTGTGGTGAAGAAAAGTTTAGATGCCAATCATGACGTGTGATCACAGCTCTATGACACACATAAAAAACCCAGGTAGAGATTTAGTTGCACTGTTGCAGCCGCCATCCTGTGCTCCGTGGACATCCATGTTCCCAAGCTCTCTTATGCCTTTCCTTTTAACCGAACAAAGCTAAAACAGACAAAAAAAAGAGGAGGGGAAAACTTCTCCTTGGTCACCTTTATTAATCATGTGTTTCCCTGAAAATAAGACAGGGTCTTATTTTCTTTTGACCCCCTCCCCAAAAAAGCACTTGGCCTTATTTTCGGGGAGATCTTATTATTTTTGAGGTGAGTGTGGTCACTTCATGACTGCTGCTGTGTTGCAATATTTTTGGGAAGGGCTTATTTTCAGGGGAGGGCTTATTTTAGCGCATGCATTCAAAAGCCTGATTGGGTTCATTATCCGAGGAGGTCTTATTTTGGGAGAAACGGGGTAGTAATCTGTTATGTCTGAGACTGGGCAAACGTGAGGTGTCAATCATCTCCACCCGATGACAGGATTGGTCGGTCAATGTAGGCGGCGCCTAAGGAAGCTAACGTCGTTCTGATTGGATGCCGGTTTGACAGCTCCGATATAAAACATCTGTCAAACCGAAGTTCCTCTGTTCTGTCATGATTTGTGCTTAGTTGATGTTGAATAAACCTTTACTGTTGAACGGATCGCCTCAGTCAAGTAATTAATATTAGTACACCTCCATTCACCTCTGTTCAATTTTGCCCTGTGATGCATTCTATACAGGACCAAAAGTTTCCATGGTAAACTTTTTATCTTCTCACCCAATGGTGTCATCTTTCTTTCCTGCAGCTGAATACATCGTCTTGCAGTTTGGCCGAGTAGCGGATGATGTTTTTACCATGGACTACAATTACCCACTTTGTGCTGTGCAGGCTTTTGCCATTGCCCTCTCAAGCTTCGATGGCAAGCTGGCCTGTGAATAGCATACCTACAATGCCATCATGCCAAGGTTTGTATCAGGTCTGGACCTGCCAGGTCAAATTCCCTCCATTCAGTCTAACAGTGTAAGCACAAATATGCCTGACAATGAAAGCCAGGCAGGGATGATATGAAGGGGAATGAGAGCTCACTTGGTATTGTTAAACATCACCAAATACTATTGGGGAAAATCTGGCAGAATTCTGAGTGCATATTAGTGTAGTGTTGTGTTAGCTAGTAATACCATATGCACACATTTGTCTTTAACATCTGCTTGTGAACACAAAGACTGGAAACATCTTGGTTGTGGATATTGTTAAGTTACCCCCTCCTAAGGGATTTGGAACCAGCTGCTCATCTCATGCTGTCAGTGATTTTTTTTGCATGCTAGTTTGAATCTCAGAAGATTTGAGTGTTTAGAAAAGTGTTTCTCAATCTCAGCAGTTTTAAGATGTGTGGGCTTTGATGCTGGCTGGGGAATTCTGGAAGTTGAAGTCCACGTATCTTTAAAGTTGCGTAGTTTAGGCAATTTGCTGGGCTCCATGGTGGGTGGGTGGTTTTGTTTGGTTATTTAAAATTGACATCGGGAAAGGAAGCTGTTTTCCTGAAATGATAATGATCAATTGAAAAACAATGGATGGGATAAGGTCTACTTTATCTTTTCCAAAATCATGGCCTGCCTGCTAGTCACAGGAATCTAGATGAATGTGTAAATTTGTTGGTTATAAAAATATAAATTACTTATGAGGGAAGAGTAACTAATAGATGAGAGTTAAGTTTGCAAATTGGGGTCTGAACCCCTTTCTTTAAATGCTATATTAAGTAAACTAATTTAATGTAGTAGAAATAATATATGTAAATTATGCGTGCCTCAATGAGAAGGGAGATTTTGGTGCTTAGATAAACAGAAATTCTTTTGGAATGGGGCTATTTAAAAAAATTAAGCATAGTAGAGAGCTGCAATATAATATATTTCTACAAATAATGCATTCTGTCTCTGTCTTTTTTTCTCCCTGTTGTTTTTTTATTCTTTGTCCCCAGCTTGAATGGCATTTCCTCAGCCAGGGAATAGACATGCTCATGTCTTCAAATTAGTACTACTGCTCTTCCAGAACATTCCTGAGCATTACCTTATCATTCTGAAGAAGGTGATTTGAAAAGGTTGCAAATTATCACCTTAACTTATTAGCAACAAATATGTCTGGCCCAAACTTGCTTGGCAGGATCCAGTTCCACCCTCTTTCTCAGCATGCCCAGCAATTAAGGTTAATCTGTATGACCAGGTTGTCCTACTAACCATTTCTATGATGACAACTTCTATCCACCCCCAGCCCACCAGGAAGACCGACTGTACCCACCTTTCCTATCATGAACCAAAAATGATGTTTTTCCTAATGCCATGCTTCATTTCTGATTAGAGAAAGATCTCCCCTCCAATTTAGCTATCATGAGCAACGGTGGGAAAGCCTCTCCCTTCCAGTCGCCCCCTTCCCTTCCAGTTGGCACTTTGTTCTGGAATCAACTCTTGGTTGATCTGAAAACCCTGAACTCATGGGAAAATACTAGGAAGAAAAGGAAAAGCCAGAATGCCTGACCTCTTCTGAATGGATCTAAGTTTATGAACCTGTTTGCTTCTTGGTTTCACCAGTGGACCAGCGGAGTGACAAATTTTTTCAGATTTGCTTTAGGTTTTTTGTGCCTATCTCTTCCCTAGTTTCCACTCTGCTCACCTGCCTGCTTGTGTTGTAACTGCATCTCAACAATTTGGTGGGGTGGGGGTGGGGAAACCAAGTCCAAGAGGAAGTGAGCCTTGTTGCTTCATAATAAAAAAAACCTGTTAGTTGATTGTTTCATTGATCAAAAGTGAAAGGTTCAACTTTGTAAATGATCACTGATTGAGCCATGAGAAAGGGTCCTTCCTTCCTTCCTTCCTTCCTTCCTTCCTTCCTTCCTTCCTTCCTTCTTTCCTTCCCCACTGATGGATGTACCAGTCAGAAAAATATCAAGTACGAAGAGAATCAACAGAGGGACTTCGTACAAACATTCTAACAAAGGAAAACACTATTCTCCAAAGACTCATCCACAGAAGAGAAGGATGTTGGTACTTGCTTTACAAGTATGAAAAAGAAGCGGGGAGGTTTGTCCACCAAGCAGGAGCTGTGGTAAACAAAACCTAATCAGAAACTCAGGCCACCACCATGGCCAAAGCAGAGAAGAAAATTGAAGTTCAGGAAGGGGTTTCTTATCCAGCTTCATTTCTAGCCTATTTATACACAGGAGCTTAAGCCTGCAGTGTGGAAATACTGTAACTGAATATATTAGAAGTATTTTTATTTAGTATTTCTTGAGAAATCATCCATCTCTTGATCCTACAGGAAACATAGACACCTCCTAGAAGCTCAGAGAGTATTTTGATTAGAAACTACTCTAGTAGTCATTACTGGACTCATGAGAATGTGTGATTTGGCTGAGGGAATTTAGACAAAATTGGTAATTATTTCTCAAACATCGTAAATATTCTATGACTATTATTTCTTTAACTGGATATTCCTGAATTTATTTGAATGGTAATTTCAACTCTATACGTTAGTATCATTTCCCCATAGTATCATTGTCAGGGTGTTAACATCCACATTTAAAAAAAAACCAGTCTGATATCTATATTATCAATGTTATACTGTAATTTTCACCAAGTTAGGACCAAGCTACTCCTATATAAAGATAATGCTGGAAAGGAAAGAGGGAAGGAAGGAAGGAAGGAAGGAAGGAAGGAAGGAAGGAAGGAAGGACAGACTGTATTTTACAAAATAAATTAGCAGATCTTGATCAAATTTATCAAGTGGTGAAAGCACAGGGATGTATTCTAGTCAATGTTGTTAATCTTATTTAAGTTTAGTTGCAAATGTATTTTTAGCTATTATTCCACCTTGCTTTCCAAGAATGTCAAGAGGAGAGCATAGTACTGCAGATACATTATATATCATTTGGAAGTAGGGAAGTCTCCCTCACTATTTAGCCACCTGTTGTTTAATGGATAACTGATAACTTCCATCCTACAATCTTCACACCTTCAGACCAAACTATTTCTTCATTGAAATAGACAGTCAAAAGCAGCAGAAAACTCCAGTGGAAGACTAAGTTGTTGCAGGAAGTACTTAGTAACAATGACTCAAAAGGTGTGGCCCGCTTTGTGAATCATAGTGTGGCACTTCACAAGAGTATCGATGAGGGGTGTTATACCTGCTCTTTCTTTTCCAAAGCCTTCACATGAGTCTTGCATTCCTGGGGGGCTCATTTGGTGGAGTTGCCTGAAAATGGAGGTCCTTAAATTTGAGTAGAACATCTAAGGTACTTAAGCCATCAACAGAATTCTTGCTTCATCCAGGGTTAAGTTAGGTAGAGTGAGAGCCTTCACTTCCTGTCCTCATGTGACATTCATGGTTATTACTGTGGGGTGTAGGATGATGCCTTCCAAGTCACCATGAATCATACATGTAGGTGTGGAAGGAAGGCTGGGAGATGTTTTGTACATGTGAGCTGTAATTAATTGTTATTGTTATTCTGATTAATTGTAAAGGGAAAGACACATATAAATCTTGATGGTTTCTGAGGTTTTTCCCCTCCCCCACCTTTATTTAATATGAACCATTGTTATAATAATACAGAAGCCTTTTCTAACCTGGTTTCCTCCAGATATGTTAGGCTATAACTCCTATCATCCTCAGCCAGCCCTTAGCATGACACATTTGAAAAACACTATTCCAGGAAAGGGCAATTTATAGAGAAACAAAGGCACCTGGATGAAAATTGCAATGTTACAGTCAACGTTTGTTACAGTTTGTGATGACCTCCTACAAGAGGAGTGTAAGAATATTATTCAGATAAGTACAAATGTACTGCAGCAACTCAGAACATACGAAGTAAACAGATCACCCGTACAACATCTGCCAACAAAATGGATACTCTCACAACTTTATTTAAAAAATGCCTGATCACTCAACCACTACAGTACAACCAACACAAGCTATGAAATGGATAATGCTACCATACGTCAGAAAAATCTGCAAACTATTGCAACTACCTGGCATTACTGTAGCATACAAACCATCTAAAACCCTCCAAAACGTCTTAAGTAAACCAAAAGATCCAGTAGCCCAAAAACAAAAATCAAGAATTACCTACAACATACTGTGTAAGAACTGTAGTAACCACTATGTAGAGCAGAGAAGCAGAAGACGTGCATCCAAACAGCAACCAGAAGACATAATGAAAACTCTTTAACTTCACAATACTTGGACAAACTCAACCGTCATTTAACTGGGGAATTGTGGGCATCCCAGATGAAACTAAATCCAAAAAGCTAGATTCCTTAAAGCTTGACATTCAGACAATCAGCCACCAATAGACACAGAGAAATCACATTTACACTCCATTCAAAAGAAATAATAAAAATGTTAAGAAGGAAACACAAATCACCAGATCTTATCCCCTCCAATAAGAATAGATTAACACCAGACAAACAAGCAGAAAACAATGCCATAATCAAGAAATTACCAAGGAGAAAACCATACACCCTCCAACACTGGCAGGGCAAGCTACAGGGAGAAAGCCCCACACTCACCATCACTGATGATGGTACCTATTTGAGTAATGAAATGTCTGCAAACAAACAAGTTCAGAGAGTACCAAAGACTCCATAGTTCAACCGTAAGCTATTTATATTATCTTGTTTGTAATGAAGTATTAGATAAGTACATTTGTCTTGGGTCATTAGTCCCCATAAGCAATTACTTTTGAAACTGTCTGTTATGTAATTTTTGAAAAATTATCACATTTTAAGGCTACATCCAAGACAAGAGATTGACCCAATGGAGAAAGCATTCAAACTCCATGATACTTAAAAGCAAAACATGAAAAAAATCAATGGAAAAATGTCCTTCTATGAATTAACTTCTTCACAGTCAGACATCGTAGTGGTCCATCATTAATAATGATTAGTTCTCTTCAATCTGACATAATTTAT